GGGGGGGGGGGGGGGGGGGGGGGAGGTTTTATAGTACCTCTAGCGCCTATACCCAGGAGGTGGAGGTGGTGGCCTTCTACTTGCTCCCCGGTTTAACGCTGAGAATTGGTTACCCGACTGTTGTTGAGGGTGAGTATACCCTCTACCACTGCTTTGGTTTCCCCGAGAGGTCCAGCTACCACCCCGTTGATGATAACTAGCATCCCCATATGATTGGTAGCCCCCATAGCCGTTGTATCCACCTGGCTCACGAAAATGGGTACCAGACGGAATGGGAGCTTGCACCAAATGCTGAGAGGGCTCATTCAGAGTGTAGCTATGTCCATCTTGGTGCAACCCAGGTGGGTAGTATCCATGTGCGGCGGGATATTCTCTGCTTTCAGTAGTAAACTGGTTGCTCCTTTTGTCCCAAGGATGGGACCTATTGAAAGGACTCTGTGCAACTGGAGAAGCACGCGGGTGACCATAAGTATTGTCAAACTGATTCCGAACAGTATAGGGGTTTGATGACCCGGGGTAACCTTCGGAGCTTTGAGCGGGATATCCTGATCTAGCCCGAACCATTCTGTTCTGTTCCTGATCGTGATAACTATTACTCTGGTAAGAGGGGAAAGGCGGGCCATGTGTACCAGCATATGATGGGGGCGGTGCATACATTTGTCCACCATTACTATTTTTATCAGCGTTTGACCGTAAACTATTAGCCACAAACCGATGTGCTGCTGGCCCAAGCTGCCTGCCAGACGACATTCCAGGGGGGTTATGCCTGAGAGGACACGACCAAATCACCCACAATTACAAAGAAACACTATAATCATGACACAGCATAGTAGAAGTACAACAGTAAATGCCCGTCAAGATATTTCCCAATAACAATTCACAACGGTATAGGCATACCTTCCGTTTTCCCATGGCTTCTTCCCAGAATCCTCATGCCACAAAACAGGTTCGGGTTTTATATCCCCCAAGGTGACCGTCTGTAAAAATAATAAAGGGTATCAAAAAAGGAGCATGCTTCTAGTATTTACAGAACAATATGTACCATTTGTTTAAAGTTTACAAATCTTATTCATGAAGAGTAGTTTACATCACAAGTACTTCTTCGCTTGAGATAAAACTGATAACAGTCCTATGCTACTTCTTCCCTATGAATCCTAAGAACACTAATCTATTGAACAATTTAAAAATAACTAGTACAGGACAGTAACGTCAATTTGCTTTCCAACTTTAACATTCATTGCCATGAAAATACATGATTTATCGGACTAAAACACAAAACGTTAACTATCCAAGGTTAACATATATAGAATCATTTAACACTTTTTTCCTTAATTAGGCATTGACTATAATCTTATCATAGTCCTCACGCTCACTTAAATAGAAGATAGTTTCCGTTAAAATAAAAAGAACTAAAAGACCCTCTAAGAAAACATAGTGACATCAAGCCCTTCACCTGCCAATTAGTAAAAGCAAAGGCTCACAAGGCATCTCTAGACAGTATATAGCCCCTATATGAGGATCAATGAATACCTTCTTTGGAAATATAACCCCGGAAGGTGGTCGAGTGATGTGTTTATGAGCATCCGGAAGTCTGTATATGGCACATCTGAAATGCAAAAGGGTGGAAAATGGAAAAAATAAAAATAAAAATAAAAATGTAAGACGTCCTAAGTGTATAATGACATCAATTAATCCAATAGAAGACTCTATTGGTTGCTTGGGAGCTTACATGACTTGATTGTCCATAATATCTTCCATTCCAGTAACAGGTGATCGAAAAATTGGAGGGCAAGGATCCCCAGCGCAAAGGGATATATAACCACACATCCCACCACTGCAACTATCCCTAAATAATTAGAGAAGTATCCAAACATACCTTAAATTTATAACTAGCGTGGATATTCCAGATGAACTGGATTCAAGACGCAACCGAAACAAGACTAGTTATAACCCTTGCAATACAAGGAATATGGCTAAATTATGGTGTGAAAGGACAAATGATCCAACCCTTTCTTTCTTAAAAATGGGTGGTCACAACCTTGCCCATGAGCTGAGTTGTAGGCTATATGGGCCTGCAGAATGAGAAAGAGGAAAAAAAGAAAAAGGGTGGGGGACGGTTTGGATGCAAAAATTCCATAAGCAGATCAAACTTCAACAAATGTTTAAGATACATGGAGTTTTGAGAATAATACTAGCACACTTTAAACTTGTGTACTGCGGAGTAACAAAGCCAAGGTTCAGCAATTACTTGAGCACCGAAATATTTCAAAACTCTGGGCTTAGAGAGAAAAATATTGCAAAACAATAGAGTGAAATGAATCTACTGATAAGAAGTGTGAAACTCATTGTAAGATTTCTTTTGTTTAAATACCCACAAGAACATCATCTATTCAGTACGGGGGTGGAGGAGATGACACTCGAATCAAGGTCTTGGGGCAGGTGAGCATTGTCCCTTAACAACTAGGACAACCCTTGTTCTATGCTTGTTGCGAGAATAAAGCAGAATGCATTCTTGTACAAATGTTCTTCCAAAAATTAGGGACCTTTAAAATTAAATATACAAGTAACCAAAGAAATTAGGATAATGTGTGACTTATCATATGAGTTTCTATTCATTATGCTTGTTAAAACAAAGTGGTAATAAACAGCAATTATAAAATTGCCTTATGTATACTAGAGACCATATAATAACAAAGAAAAGTTGCAGATATTAACTAACGATTGACGAGCTCAAATTTTTTAAAGGAACCCCATTGTGGAAAATTTGCAACTCAAACCTGGCACTAGGATCAAGTTGCTCCTTGAAATCAACTCGTTCTTTTTCTGTCAACTGCTTACAATGATCGTCAAGAGAAAATATGTACGGAGACAGAGGGTGAGATACTGACACAAAAAGCATGTCAAACATAATGCTGTTTCTTCGTGTTTCTTCCTCCTGCACAAAATATGGTACTGTATTGGACCACATCATCTGGCATAAGAATCTGATAGTTAAGTCGCAGAGGCCAACTACTCATACCGTTAAAGTATGTTCCATTTTTGCAACCTCAGTAAGAAGGCGGATTTCATCAATGAAAGGCAATTTGGCGATACCCTACAAAACATTGCCAAAAGCAGGAAAATTCTGTAAAAAGCTTCCACGCGTGTAAAAAAGCAATGCCCATAACAAATCCAATTGAAACTTGATTCTTAGAGTGATTTACTTTGATAGAATGCAAGACACTCATTTGTCTGGTTATTTTTGTTTTTTTCCTTTTTTTTTGTTTTTTTGTTTTTTGCTGTGTGAATGTTAGGCTGAGTTGCAAAACAACATGATAGAACTGGAGAGTTGGGTATGAAGCCATTGGTTCATTCGCACACTCTGATTATGTTGTATGCACAACAGTGGACTCGTGAATGTCAAATTTTACAAGCGTGAGGCTAAACAAATCTAAAAGAGGTAAAGCACACCTGCCAAGAATATCGCTTGCCATTCATGTCCACTTCAAAATCTGTGGAATAAAACAAAGTAAATGTAAGGATATTTTATTCTCAAAACATTTCACTTTCTGCCATTTGTCCCAGCATTATTCATACCAGTTGGATAAAAATCAATAATAGGCGAGGTTGGATCTGTCATCAATTTCCTATATTGCACAGGGAGTGCATGGGAACTGTAGAAGAAAACCAGTTAGAATCCATTCAAGAGGGAAATTCTATAAGTAAAGATGGCCAATGCAACCTGGCAGCAGGAAAAACCCCCAATAACTGATTGAAAGGTTTGAACGGAGAACCTAGTTCAAAACTTATATCCAGCTGCCCAAGATCCTTGAGATCAGATGCAAATGGCGCATAATGGTAAGGATAAAACCTGTAAGAAGTTCCATAATCAAGACCAAAAGTGTATGCAAGAAATACGACACCATTATGTGATAACTTATAAGCTTCTGCCAGCATATATGTGCATGCTTAAACCCTTGTGCATGCCATTATTGCAACATTTAATGAAGTTCTGTTGTGCTGGATTGGGGTACTAAGTTTCTAGATTGTTGTTCTTCCATTCCAGATGAAGTATCTAGTACATATTGTCTGTAGTTGCTTTCAAGTGACCCTTAATGATTTGCCTTCTTGTAATTAGTATGTATGAAGGATGACATTTGCTTGCATCAAATACGGTGCAATCAAGCCGAAGTATCAAAAGAACATGCCTTAACCACAGATGGCTCCTTTGGACATGCTAATATTCAGTGAGAGAAAACGTTTTAAATAAAAAGAGTGGTGAAATAAGGTAGGAAAGATTACCACTGCCAGGAACAAACTCCTTCATAGTAATAATGCATAACCCAGCATAGACCTTCTGTGTATCTCAAAACCTGAAAAGGGAAAAGATTGAAATTTTCGTCAGCCTATTATTACTTCAAAACATGTGCTTGACAAGCTTCAGATAGATGACCTATAAAACCACCATGCTCTAGAGTATTAAAACCACTTAAAATTCCAGATGGTGACATTAGCACCCAACATCCAATTTACCAGTCAAATTGCAATCAGGCTGGCTGAAGTAAAAACTTCCAGGAAGAACAAGCACAAAAGAAGGGCACATTCAACAGGAGATGCTGAGTAGCTCAATAAGTTGAATTTGATTAGGATATTTCATGAATACTGCTGACACTTAAAAGCAAATCCTACAACGACACCTGCTCAAAACGTGGCGCAATCTATACAACATGCTGTAACTCTTTAATTTGAAATTTCCAATCCAAACTTGACTAAATCCAAATCACCAAATTAGGCAACTTAAGGAAAGTGATTCCCAGATCAATGCATGCTAATAAAACAACGCTTTGCTTAGGTTTTAAAGAAATGCTTATCCTCAATGTTTAACTCAAGGTTCACTAAAATAAACTCAACAAATTGGACGACTAGAGAAGTCAGTTCTATATCAGTAAATCATAGATTCAATCACCGCCAGTTCTGCACAATCAAACTACATTGCAGCCTCCATCAAGCCAACCGCATCCATGTTCACCACCATTTTTAATGCAATAATTAAAAATACAAGTACACTTATTCTCTTGTGTCATCAGTGGCAAAAGGAAGATGAGATCAAGAGCACAACCTGGTCTTTCCAACAGAAACCAAGTATAGTACACTCAGTCAGTAATCATCAGTGGCAATTAAGTTCAAATTTACTTACAACATCTTTCCGTATCGTTTCAAGTTCCTCAGGAGTCTTTGCAAAAAACTTTTCCTCGTAATACCTTTCTTTCCAGCCTGGCTCTCCCAGCTTGATCTAATGAAAGGAAGTCACCATAATGAATGATAAATGAAGCAGCAAACATCTCATCATTTTCATTTAGCCATTGGAAATTTCCAACAAGAGTTCCAAGATTTTAATTAATTTTGGAAAACAAAATGGTTTTCCTTTTCATGAAATCATACACTCATCCATAGGCTTCCACATTTGAGTAAAGTCTTGACCAAGTTTCCACCCATGTTTCCATGATTTCCTACATTCTTTAAAAATAGACACTGACTCAAAACTAGCATTCTTTTTCTTGTGATAAATGCACATATCCAGTTTTCTTGTGACTCCAGTGATAGGCCTCATAATATATTTTCAATTTATGGTGAAGCTTACATTGGTCAATGGTCATACAAATGGTCCAATGGGAGCAAGAATTTCTAGGAACATTTAGTTTCTGGGTAGAAGTGCTGTGTTCAATTGATTACGTATTAATCAATATTCAATTGATTGGTCTGAGGTTATCGTTTAAGCCACTTCGTTTCCTTTTATCCAAGTTGCTTTTCTTTTGTCTAACTCACTTATTTCTTTGTGAGTTTCGGGAATATCCCCATCATAGGTCCAAGATCTACATCTACGAATTGAAAGGTCCGAATGACCAACTCAGCAATCAACTGTTAGAATCAATAGATCTTCAAAGTTATTGTCTGGCAGCCATGGTGTCAAGTACAAGTATATGAATATTGCAGTATAACAACTATTTCACCATTAAGAGAAGTTAATTGTGCCACTGGTACCTAGCACTAATAAATCAAACACTGTGTCAATACATACAACTACAAAGGCAGATAAATAGCGAAATTGAATGCCACAACAAATCACTCATTAAATAAATGCTCTGTAGAAGTCCACTACAAAAGTAACTATATCTACCTTGTCTTCCTCCGGATTTTCAGAATTAAAAGCATCAGACTTTTCACGAAGTAAATCTTTCAGCTTTGTTTTCAATTCCTCTTTGTTGTCCCGTTCCTGAGAACCAAGAGAGAGAAGAAATAAGAACCAAATGAGCAGTACCATATACTGTAACATAGTATCATGCAGAACCAATAGTAAGTGATGTTAATGATAAGGATAAAGCTAATACGAAACGAAAATATGCGACTAAATGTACTGTCCACTTCCTGGTAGCAAACCGCATACCAAATGAATAGTTAGTCCACAGTAATTGGTCCTACAGAATGGTTGACAGGGTCAGAATTGCATTAAAGTGCCTCTCCCGAAGCAGGAAAACATACTTCTATTTCAAGACTCGTCTCAGCCTCAACAATGGCAGCACCAATAGAGGCACCAGAAGATAAACATGCAACTTTTTTGGCCCGCATATAGGTTTGTTTATCACCAGATGTCTCAGAATGCTTGCTCTGAATGTCAAGAACTGATTGTGTCCGTTGATATGGTGAATGTGAAGGACCTGAAGCAAGACGCGAACCATGAAACCGGGCAATTGCAACTAGAGAGTCAGGTTTAACTTGAGGTTCTGCATCATCTCCTCTTTTTGCCTGAGCCTGAGCCTTGTCACGCTTAATTCTTTCAGCTTGTCTCTGATCAAATAAAAACAAAATATAATTATTTCAGCTTCATTTCACAGAAATATGAGGCACTGAACAGATACACCCAATAATATTAATGCCAAGATATTCAGATACATTTTTCTTGGTTACAAAAATAACTTGAGCTTACAAGAAGCAGCACAAAAGAAACATCCTCCCCCTCCATGAACAAGATATTAGAAACAACTTAATATACCTAGTGTTGAAGTATATGTTTCTCTCTCTCAAACAATTTAAGCTTTTAAAATAGATGGTTGGTATCTAAACAGGAGATCTTGTATTTGAATCTCATCACTATCCTGATAATTAAAAGATTTTCACGTGCTAAGCCCAAAATTTAACCTGAGAGGACGTGTTGAAGTATAAATATTTAAGATACACACTCTCACAGCTTAAGCTTTTCGAGTGGAAGGTTATTTAACATCTAGAAACCTTTTTCTGCTGGATAACTTATATCATTCTAGGACAGGCTGTACACGATGAATTAATTACAGATCTAGGTTATATTTCACTTCTCATATAGCTTAAATGATTTAGTGAAAAGATGAATCATAGAAAAAATTATTCTATGGACCAAAGTACCACTCTCTTGAATATTCTTCTAGGGTCTTAAGTTTGGTATCATGGGCAGTCTAGTATGGGAATAGTTACGGTGTCACAAATTTTGTTCTCCAAAGGCATACCACTTGGCAATGTACTAGAGAAGAGAAGAGAAAGAACAGGTTATTATTATTATTTTTTTGGTGTTTTTTTTTTTTTTTTTTTT